TCAAAATCTAAAACTTTCAAAATTTTATTATTCCTTCTCTTAGCTTTTGAAATCTGGTAAATAAAATTTAAATTATTGACAAGTTCGTCAACAAAAACGGTTACAACCTCCATACAATATACTACCAAAATTTTGAACAAACAGACAAACAAAGTAAACAAATAAAAAAAACTGAACTAAGCAAATCAGCAAATGAAAACATACACAACTCACAAAATACAGATGAATACTTTTTTATATAATATAACATTACCAGACAAAATCAACAACAAAAATGATCATTTAAACCAAGTATTAAATACCGCATCAATGTTATAAAAATTAACCAAACAAACTTTAAGTCCCACTTATCCCTAGCAAAATCCCTTACAATATGCAGCAAATCATCGGATAAAATTTTATCATAAATATTTCTCTGAATGAAAAACATAGAATAAATAAAAACAGATAAGATTTTCGGAAACAAAAAATTCCAAAAATTGTGCCCAAAAAAATCCCACTATAAAAATAATCAGTTAGCTTTTTTTTTTTTTGAAATATCAACCACATGTTGCGGTTACAAACTAAAACTACATTCTTGAGCAAAAGCTCCACTGTTCTTCAACATTCCTTCCCGATAAAATCAATTCTTTTATTCTAACTGAAGTTCACATTCTTTTACACCAACAGCCATTCACCGAAATCTTGGGATCTTTTCAAAATTCCCTCATGATACTCGTTTTCATGACATATAAATGCCGAAAAACTTTCTTCTATGACAACACTACTGCGAAAGCTTACAATTAATGTAAATCAAATCTAATCATCCAAAGATAGGCTAGCCTGCAGTGCTAACACAAAAACTGCTATAAAAACTAAAATTGTTATCATCGCTTTTGCACATCATTCATTAGATTCATGCCGATATATTTTTCTAAACCACGATTCCTGAGGTTTTTTGGCCTCTACTATCCTTTTGCCTCTCCATACTTCCCTATCTTGTTGCGGAGAAGACGAAGCTTTATCATTAGTTTGTCCTGACAAGGAAGCGTCTGGTATTTGTTGTTTCTCACCCATATAAGGATTATAGTTCATAAACGTCTTTTTCATTTCATTAGTCTTCTTCCTTACTTCTTCGTAGCATGTACCTAAAAAAAGGAAAAAACGCATAACCGCAGTAGCTACAATAAATTTTTTTTTTTTTTTTTTGACACACAAAGATAATTAAAAATTTTAGTCGCTGTCCACTTTATTTCAATTTTAGTTTAAAAAGACACAGGCAGATAAAACTAAAAACACTCAGTTTTTCTCGTTAAAAATATTTTTATTACAACTCACCCAATAACGAAAGTATGGCAAACACATATAACAGCACCCTTATCATCTAGGATAAAATTAACTTGCTAATAGATAAAAACTCTATAAATTTATCGTTGCCAAAACATTTTCATAAACTGTTTTATTTTTATCAAAATTCTAAACAGTGCACTTTACAATATACTTGAATGAAGTTAAATAAATCGTCTTTCATATTCCATCTCAAGTACTTGCCGTAGAATACTGCAACTATTACAGATAACGGTCATATAACGCAGCTGTTGTTCATTACTTCTAAGCACTGTCCAAAAAAGTCACTACAAAAAATTAACTGTCCCTCCAAAATACAGTAAAAAATCACCGTCATTTGACACAGAAATCAATCAATATTTGAAGCTGTAAAAAAAAAATCCCAATCGCTTCCAACCTACTAAGCAACAAAGGAAAAGAAAAAATAACTCAAATCAAAAATGTTTAATATATTAAACTCCTTCGCAATTCTAACGTCAAGAAGGCCGACGTAAATCAATACGAGAAACCCACTCATAAAAATGATAAAGAGGTAATTTACAAAAGAATTTTTGCGGACCTAAAATTCGCTAACTGAAAACATTACTTGACTTAACAAAATGAAGAATTCTACCAGCAAACCGGTAAAACACAACAAATTACTAGAACATGTCCATCACCGCCAACGGCGACCTCCTTAAACCTTCTACCATCTAAAAACTAATGGACACTTTTATGAAGGAATACTCAGAGTTCCACCCAGCCACTGCTTTCTAGGAATCAAAAACATCTGAATAAGAAACACAGCAGAAGCGCTTTATACAGGAATTACAGACTGATCACCAGAATCATTTATACGCTCCTCCACAAATATTTAGGAATTTTATTAAGATTAAGAAATGAAGCAAAACGCTGTAAAAACTAATAGGCGTAAACCGAGCTTCCTATTCCAGAAACTTTACACTTAGGCTACAACTTCAAAATTGTTTCAATGATGCATCGCACTATTTTACTTTAAAGTGCCCTACAATAAAAATGCAAAAGCTTAAAGAGAAATTTTCTACATAAAAATTAATATTACATTTGAGGTCTACCAAAAACCCAATGCCCAGATGCACTTCAACTGTTTTACCAAAGAAGAACATAATAAATACCAAAATTTGGAACTATAATTTTCTGCTAACTCGCTCTATCAGTACACTATAACCCTGCAGAAGATAAAAGTACAAGAAACCCAAACGTTTATGATAAAAAATAAACCACGTGTCAGAACCATTAAACCATGATAATAAGTAATGGCCCTGTAACGTGTCCCAAAATTGATAGTAAAAGTAGTTTTGAAGGAAAAATTTTAAAAAACAACCCAGACACTGATTTGTCCCAAAGAGTATAAACAACTGAAAATTTACCACATATCGTATGAGGTTCATGAAAGGAACCACAGTCAGGACAGCAAACAAGGTTTTTTACTGGAATAATAAGTCGTGTGTAGGAGAATTTCCGAGTACGAACTTTGGCTGAAAATTCACGATTACAAAGCTCCTCGATAAATCCGGCACTTTTAAAGAACCCTAAGCATAGATGATTGGAAAGATCAGTTACCGGTTCTTCTAAATAAAAAAGTGAGCCCTTCTGTTGTAAACAATTTTCTTCAAGAATAAAAACTTTTGAGTCCTAACTCAAGCCAAGCTTAGAACTCATAAAATGTGATATATTTCTTTGTTAATGACTGTTAATGAAAATATTGAGTTAATCCGTAACCATTTGCTGATTTATATCTTTTGACTGGACAGATAATAAATTTACTCCCACATATCATTATTCACGAAGAAGCACGAGAAACAGTACACAGTTGTCACTTCAACTTTATCGTTTCCCCTAACCTCCGCATTCTGTCATTTCGCGGCTCGGAAAACTGTCTCAGGTAGTTTTTATACGCTTTTAACCACGCCAGTTTCCTGACACGGACGTCTCAAAACCTTTGAAGAAATGAAGTCATGAAGAGTGATGCGGACATAATGAAATTTCATATCCAAACTCCTTAAATTTTCTCCGCGTTTTTCAGAAAAATATTGTCTGAGGTCATCTTACAGTGGCAGTATCTCTCTTCACCCTTAAAATCTTCAAGCACAGTTCCGCTAGGTTTTAACTTAATTCCTCCAATAATGAACAGTAATCCTCTTCCGTGACGGTCTTAATGCAGTTCAAAAAACCGTTTAATCTCTGACCATTACCTTAATCCAATAAATATCCGGATAATCTATCCAGTTAAAAAACTGTCTATTTGAATATGCCTGCTGTCTAATCCTCATCCGGTTGTCGCACAGTTCCCATCTTCTGCGCCAAGTAACAACCTAATTTGAAAAAGAAACAGTTCCAACTTACTGCAGAAACGGTGCAGTGCCAAACACGCGTCGCCCGTTGTGATCGAGCAAATTCGTGAGTCTCTATTGTTTCAACTTTTTATTCGCCTCTACTACACGCAAATATCAATCGAGTGTTTGACGTAACACCACAATTTCAAAATGCATGCAACGAATAGTACCTTTCAAATACATCTCAGCAATCATCCTTAATCTCTGGTCGCCACAGCAAGATTGACTACGCGGAAGCCGCTCGCCTTTCCACGATCCATCACTATTGGCAAATCTAGCAATTTACTCCTGTAAAGCCCACTCTTGTGCAGAGGGTCCCCAAAATGCTCTAGTGACTATGAGTCGCTTCTGCAGCACTACTTTCGCCTCTTCATAGACAACGAGGAATAGTTTTTTCGGCTATAAAAAATTTCTGTGACGAATTAAGAACTAGAAAAAGACCAGAAGCGCAGTGCGGATGAACTGATAACAGATTCTCCATCAGTGTTAATTGAGTGAACCTGTTTTAAAATAGAAGTTCAGAAGTTAAAAGCTATAAACCGGCAAACGACTATAGACTTGCCTAATCCTACAGTACTGATCCGCCCTCTACAAATACCATATAGACAAGGGAATAAAACCTTTTAAAAACATAATCTACCAACAAATTTGAACAACTTATGAGTTCAGAAGTTAGCGACACAAAAAGCAGTTCTAAACTGACAATGGTACAAAAGCTTCTTCAAAACAATATCTGTCAGGGTGAATAAAAAATAAGCTGTCAACCTGCGGAAATACTTAGGGAAGAAATGCTCAAATTCTAACAAGAATGTCTTCCGATGGTACGGAAGTCCTGTCAGGGAAAAAAGTTGCTAATGGTATCTTGGATTTTAACTTTACTTCTTCAGTGAATCATAGCAATTGCTTTTCTCTTTTTTTTTTTTTTTTCAAATCAAACCCCTTAAAGCCTTCCTCATTTACTATAACACTGACGTTGTGGAGTGCGAAATTTTGGTACTCCAAGAAGAACTTGCAAGTCCTTGACAATTCTACGTAAATCGTAGTTCCTCCATTGTGTCTGCCTTGCGGTAACATGTCCCGTGACCGGTGCTAATGCTGGAAGCGCACTAGGAGGATATCCTGTTACTTCAGCTACTTTCCTTAGCAAATGAAAAAATTTGCCAGCAAGGTTATTCATTACGAGATTATGCAGGGACCAGATTCCAGAACCTGAAGTCCTCAAACCTGCAACACCAACACTTCAAAAAAAGCAGAATTAAGCTTTATACCTTCCACAACCTCAAACAATGACATTGAAAAACTTTAAGTTCGCAACGAACAAGAGATAAAATTTCAAATTCTGCACCAAAAAACTTACCGCTCAGTTCCTATAAAGCAAAAAAAAAAAAAAAAAAAAAAA